ACGAAGTATAAAAACAGGTAAAAGCTAGTAAAAATATTGGAAAGGTAAACAATATGGAAACTGTCAAAAATACAATTTTTCACAGTACAACAGGTTAGTTGATATTTGAATAGTTTTCAAAGAATAACAAAAGCCTCTCTTAGAATTGATCATACTCATCTTAGTGTCGCAAATATTGTTTTATTTTACCATCGTTGTATCTACTGTAATTAAACGGACCAGTACGCTTTTTAAATTCTAAGGTTACGCGTCATTGTCAACACGGTAGGTTAGAAACGCCTTTGGACTTGAAATTAATAATTGATTTGTTTTATTAATACATTAAGTTTGTCAGTTGCTACTAGTTAGAATATACGCGCATCTTGTCAACGGATTCACTCATATGTTACCGCACCCCACATCCCTTGAACTATCTCAGACAACCAAAAAAAGGGAAATAAAGGCGAACAAAGGGAAAATAAAGGAGAAAACGCATTTGAATGTCGCTCTTTTCGCCTGTCCAGGGGAAATAATGCGGATTTCCCCCTTTTTCGCCGTTTTGTCGACAAATTACTCACTTTTCGCCTAAATATCCACAGAATTGTCAAATTTTCGCCTAAATATCCGCTGAATTGTCTACTTTGCGCCTAAATTCCCACGGAATTGCCTACTTATACGCCTAATTTTCTACGTTTCGCCTAAATACACACGGAACTCCCTATTTTTGATCCATTGACATAACTCCAAAGGTCTCCTATGTTCGCCTTTATTTTCAACAACAGACCAAAATAACTGTGCAGTGTACTGGAAAACCGGTATATTTTTGAAAATTTTTCTTAGGAAGGAAAAGCGTATTATTGTACAACATTAGAGCAAAAGCTTAAGTATAGATTGTTTTGCATATCCATCGCAATTGCTAATTTATTGTTCTTTGAAATTATCTGCAAAAGAAGGAACAGGTGATGTACTATCTATAAGGAATGTGCATTTAAAAAACGAAGGATATTTGAGCGAACAATTGTTTTCAATAACTTCATCATCAGGCTCTACAGTTATAAGTTCATAATTATGATATTTTACAAAGGCCAAAAATAAGGCATGTATTAATGAATTTGACAATATTATGTGCTAAAAATGGTGAACGTTTGCATCTGTTATGATATATATATATATATATATATATATATACTTCAAAAATTGTAATATTTGCAAATTAGAAAAGTCATTCAATAAAGGTCAGTAAATTGTTCAGTCACAATAAATAGAATAGTAGTATAGCAAAATTGAAAATGCCAAAAAAATATTTTTGTGTGTGAATAAAATGCATAGTAGGAGAATTTAATTTTGTCAATTGACATAATAATAATATTATTACATAAGTTACCGAAGATGGGCTCCTCCATGTGTGTATACCAATTCAACTGCTCCTGTGGAGCTAGTTACATAGGCCGTACTCAGAGGGCTTTATCCTTGCGTGTTCGTGAACATGTACCAGCATGGTTGGGAAAAGGAGTCACTAAATCGATTAACAGCACCATTCTTTCCCACTTGGTAGATAGTGAACATCATATCAAAATAGAGAAAGCTTTCTCTGTTTTATATCAAGTTCCAAAATATCTACCTCAAGGAGCTAGATTACGACTGCTTTACATAGCCGAAGACATCTGGATCAACTCCAGAAGACCTAATTTATGTATCCAGAAAAAATATATCCAGCCTCTTTGTTTACCCTGGCCTACGACTGGATCACCGAATACATAGACTGAATATTATAAACCTCTTACCCCCTTCCTTTATTTTTATTTATTTTCCTTATTATCATTATTTGTCACTATCTATATCTTAATCTTCACATCCATCATTCCCAATTCGTTGGTCGTAATTACCTTGATAACACCCCCCTTATTACATATTATATTCACACAACAATATTATTATTATTATGTCAATTGACAAAATTAAATTCTCCTACTATGCATTTTATTCACACACAAAAATATTTTTTTGGCATTTTCAATTTTGCTATACTACTATTCTATTTATTGTGACTGAACAATTTACTGACCTTTATTGAATGACTTTTCTAATTTGCAAATATTAAAATTTTTGAAGTATTATATATATATATATATATATATATATATATCATAACAGATGCAAACGTTCACCATTTTTAACACATAACATTGTCAAATTCATTAATACATGCCTTATTTTTGGCCTTTGTAAAATATCATAATTATGAACTTATAACTGTAGAGCCTGATGATGAAGTTATTGAAAACAATTGTTCGCTCAAATATTCTTCGTTTTTGAGTATTCTATGGGGATTTTTAAACTTCTGAAATGTGCATTTATTCAAAATTTCACTGACACTCAAGCACACATTCTCAATACTTCTATAGTTTTACATGTGAGTAATAAAGTAAGCTCTTTTACCAAAAATTGTTTATTAAAAATGAGGTAGAACATAAAGAAAATTTCAAGGAGTATTCCCTTAAGCCACGTTCGTTCAGCTATTGAGAATTGAGGTAGTCGTCCCGTGAATTTTGAATCAAAAAAAAAGAAAAAACTCACAACCATATCTCAATGACATGCTTTGGCACAGCCAAATACTTGAAGCTGAACTTACGGTTATGTTCGTTAATATTGTTGACTGTAGCTATAAAGCCGTAGGGAAGTTATCACTTTAAATTAGTGCATACCTGATCTTGTTTTCTTCTATTACGCTTTATCATCTTGTCTCTGATATAGTGAAAGTAACCTTGTGTCGCGATGTCGTACAGCTTACCAAAGTCTTTTTCTTTGACAGCGGATGACAGAAAGCGATTAGTTAAGGCACCCGAAGTTTAAATAATAGATATAGGTTACTGCATATGCAGCCGTAAAACTTGCATTTCTTGCATTCGAATACCTGTGCCTCGACCCTCCGTCGGTCTAGAAAGTTGTACGAAGAAAAGATTGTTCAGGAATCCATAGAATGTCCTAAACGCTTGGATTCTTATATAACCCAAAGGACAAAGAGAAGAGGAAATATTCCTGCTCTATGGGTAGACAGTAATATTTCATCGTTAGTGGAGGACGATTATGGTAAGGCTCAAGTATTCTCAAACTATTACATATGTGTGAATACCGTAGAATCAGCCTTTCCTTCAGTCCAAACGAATCCTCCCACACAAACACTGGACAGCGTGACCATTAAAAAAATCGATGACTCTGGTCTGCTAAATAATCTTGATATAAGCAAATCCACGGGACATGATGAACTGCATCCAAGGTTACTGGAGGAATTAGCTAACTTCGTTGAGAATCCGCTAAGTATTTGTTTTAATCTATCCGTAACCCAGGATGGATTGCCAAGAGACTGGAACAACTCCATAGTAAGTCCCGTCTTCAACGCAGGTTCGAAACATAGATCTGAGAGCTACTGACGTGTTAACCTATCTAGCGTGGTTGTTAAAATCTTAGAAAAGATCATTCGAAAGGAGTTGTTTAAGTACGTCGATGAAAACCGGATCCTTTCATAGAAACAGCATGGTTTCAGAATAAGTTATTCCTGTCTCACTAACTTATTAGTCGCTCGTGAAAGCCGGTGCGCTCTTAGGGACCAGATGTTACCTGTAGACGTAGCCTACACTGACTTCAGCAGAGCTTTTGACAGAGTTTCACACAATCGGCTGTTATATAAGTTAAGAAGTGTCGGGGTTGGAGGCAATCTATTGATGTGGATAAAACACTTCTTAGTTGGGCGCCAACAAATAGTACGGGTGAAGTCAAAGTTGTTTAGCTGGGAAACTGTGCTTAGCGGATTGCCTCAAGGTACAGTTTTGGGGCTAGCGTTGTTCCTCTTGCATGAAAATGACCTTTATCGTCTCTTATATGCTGACCATGTCAAGATATGTGGAGCGGCATTAAAAAGTTAAGATGATGGTTTGGTGCCTCAAATGAGTTGGAAAAATTATCAGAATGGTCTAAAATTTTGCGGTTGCTGATAAATACTTCCAAGTGTATTGTGATGTACATTGGTCATCAAGGTATAGATACATACACAGCGAATAACGTTGAGTTACCAGTTGTCCAGACACACAATGGCTTAGGAGTCATCGTTAGCCAAGACTTAAAAAGCACTGCACACTGCCATGCAACAGCTGCCAAAAGTTTTGACACTTTGTGGTCGATACGTAGGGCCTTTAGTCACGTCGATGCTAAAACATTTTTGACTTAGTATACAGTGTTAGTGCGTCCCAAATTTGAGTACTACATACAAGCGGCTAGTCCCTGCTTAAAAAAGACAGTGAGTTTTTGGAAAAGGTTCAGAAAACAGTAACTAAGCTGATTCCCGGAAAAGCGATACTCCCGTATTATGCTTGACTATTTGATTGTCTAAATTAAACACATTTTCGTTGTCGTATAGAAGAACTAAAGGTGATCTAATTGCAGTATTCGAACTACTTAGTTATAATATTGCGCCTGACATGCCCTGATTTTTCTTGTCCTCCAAGACAGAAAGTTTACGAGGACACTCCGAAAAAGTTCACGAGCCCGGAACAAATTACTTGTCAGTTGACTATCGACTTTCCCATCGAATCATCAACGAGTGGAATTCATTACCTCAACACGTGGTTGAGGCTCCATCTGTCGATTCTTTCGAAAAAAAATTGAATTGACTGATAGACCATCATTGCCAGGACTAGCAAAGGCCATCAAGCCTCATGTCCTTTCCAAACTGAAACTGAATTCCAGTCAACGGACCGAGTTGTTCATCACAGTTGTGGTACAGTTAAAACCACATACCTGTTCCAGGTGTATACTTAGAGATCGTCTTGAGTAAAAGCTTGCAAGTTCGTAACTGATTATTTATTAGTCGATTTTTATTATTGGTCTTATTTCATTCATCAAGCTATAATTCAACCCTTAAATTGAATTCTGAATATTGTCTTGCAGAAATAACGGAAGAAAAGTTTTTTTTCATAGAATTTACGTTTGGTTAGTGTGAGAGAAGTCTTTATACATTACGGTTTATGATAGATTTGTGAGTGATAAACATTTTTATCTTGTTATTTGCTTTTTAAATATGCTAATGAATCTACAGGCCAGACATAACAATATCTCTGACTCAAAAATATAACACTTTATTATGATGGATGTGAACCTACGAATTATGTAGTATGTGTTTTTATTATTGCGAAAATTTTAACTGTGTAAGTTTGCCTCATTTTATTACGACAAAGTATGAATTTTCATCATCGTGAAGTTAGGCTTTTAAATTAGTGCACAACTTACATGTATTTGCTAATTATAAGTAGTGGTTTGATCAGGGATGTGCCAATTAATTAATGAAAGAGTAACATGAATATATATAACATGAGGATGCGGACATCTGTGAAATTCTGATGTATTCTAACTAAGATACTGGTGTGCACTATAAGTTGATGAAAATACCGTTTACTTGCTCAGTCTGAGACGTTCGAAAAATCATTTTTCTTGTTAGATGGTTCCAGGTCTACATGATTGTTTGCCCTGTGATCAGAAATCACTGTTTTTATAGCCACCAAACTTTTTCAAATCACCAAAACATTGTAGTAATTTGTTCTATTACTTCCAAATATGGAATCTTTATTTACAGTCGGGTTCAGGTGAAGCGGGGCGTATGGTCATCACGAAAAGAGTGTAGTTACCTTTCCGAAGTTACTCAGACTGTAAGTTTGATTCACTTTTAGACGGCATTTTGATATGCAAAGTTGTGTTTCCCAAAGTAGCTTTAAAGAAACTCCTGTCTTCAACTTTTACGTATAATTTTAAACAATTCTTCCGGATATATAAAGCCAGAACAACAACAGCTACTGCATACAAGGCGGAGATGTGACTAGTAATACAAGGAGCATTCTTACTTTCTGAAGTCTGTTACTCGTTTTTGGCACAGATCACCACCCAATAATCTACAACTATTTTTTTCTGAATTCTACTTCCCAGTTGTCCCGAGGGACGATTTATAATCGTGGTGTCTTCTAGCAACTTCAGTCGCCGTTTGTTCTATGTCCTGCCTCTTTTCCTTTTACCTTGAAAATCCCAAGTTAAGGTTTTCTTGGTGACCTTAATGACCTCCGCAAAGTCTTTTAGCAACCTCTAGCGTTCTTTTGAGCTTATTCACTAACTGGCAAGTAATATGTTCTCTACCACATTAGATTATCTCTGATAAATTCTTGCGAATAAATTCTTTCGTAAATACCAATGCTATTTTGGTAATGGTTGTGGTAGTTCCCTACGATTCAGTTGCGTACAGTAGAGACGTTTCAACTTTTGTGTCGAAAATTCCAAGTTCGATGACAATTCGTTTGAGTGTCAGATATTTTTTAATTACAGCAATGTTGCCCTTGCTTCGACAGTTTGTGCCTTGACATTTGCATCAAGATCCTCTTGTTTATCAATAATGCTAACCCAAGTACGTAAAAATTTCCATCGCCTCAAAAGCTTCGCTATCAAGTTTAATTTATGTGAAGCTTGTCGTGTTGTACTTCAGGATGTTGCTTATTCCCATCTGAATGTTGAGAATTACTCTCACAAGAGCTGATGTTACACTACCTATCTTTGTCTGAGTCTGTTGCCATGTCCACTATATTCCGTGCTCCTCTTGAGGTATGTATATCTTCGTAATCTATTCGACAAGCAGAAGCAAGAGAAGAGACTAGAGTGGGAAACCTTGTCTAACATCATTCCTTACCTGAAATGGATTTGTGAGCTACTCTCAATGAGTGACTTTGCAATTCACCTCTTCGTAGGAGTTCTGTATGATGATGATGATTTTCGCAGGCACTCCATAGTGTCGAAGAAGACTTCACAAGATATTTCTATCCACAATGTTGAGTGATCTTTCACAAACAAAGGAGTTGATAAATAGTGTTTTGTTTCATTGAGTTGATTATTCAAAAGTGATTCACATTGTCACGATTAGGTTAGTACATGATCAGCCCTTAAGTAAGCCAACTTATTGATATTTATTCTAGCAAAGGGACTAACTTTTATCTCAAAACCGTGTGCATTTATGCTTGCGTGGTTCATTGATTTCTGACTATGTACAGACTATTTCATACCAATCGAGCAATTAAACCATACACCTGAAAGTCATGATTAATAATACAAAAGCCAATAGATTTAAGTCACGTCGTCACACATTTGCTTAGTATTGATTGTAGCAGTATTTTTTCCTAAAAAATAAAAAAAAATATTGATGTGCTTATGACATTCAGTTCATTTATTTAATATTTAAACATTGCACCATCATCAGACCGTTTAATTTGTGTATGTTAAAAATCAAACTTCAAATAGATTTTTAAGCAAACGAGTAATGGCACAAACTATTGAATCAACGGTTCAAGCTAATACCTCTGAAATATTGAGAAAAAACAAGGGTAGAAAGAGTTCAAAAGTAAACAACAGCGATATAGGCCCTATCCTAGAGACCTTGGGAGACGATATAACAATAGCATCAGAAATAGAAAACGTGAATAAAAAAAGAAACGGCCTAGTGACTGGAGCAAAAAAGATTCCATTTATGGATAACCGCGGTAAGTAAGCTTTACCATAAATTATGAATTAGATTATTACACACTATAATTGTGAAGTGATGAGTATAAATACAGTATTACAACATAACTAATTCGAGGACGAAATCACATTTGAATAATATCGCTCCATGAAAAGCCGTTTATCATATCTTAAAGATGAATAACAGTTAAGGAATCGTGCAGGACAAAGGTTGTTACAATTGAGACATTCTGCTGACTATTAAAATTGTATAGATTTTTCGATTTTGTTCGTAACGATGGAAATCCTCATATTTAGATATGTCTGAAGTGGTCTTATCACTCAGGTTGAATATCTCATGTCAAAGAACTGTGAATTTCAGTCACACTAACTATTTATATCAAAATCTGATAATACTCAAGTAACTACCTGAAACAAGTGAGTACTGAGGTACCTGTTGTCTTACATTGTATGATCTCTTAAAAGTTTAAAACGATAACCTACAGAAAGTATAATGGAGATATTGGTTGTTGAGAGGTTACGCTAAATACTAGTGCAGGATATTTGCAGTTTATTTAAACTCATTATTTGATTCAATATATATCATGTAATCAATCTTATGACTCCCACAACAAAGATTTGGGCTGTTTGCAGTTTGCATAATTTATGATTAAAATTACTAACACTTAAATTCATATTTTCCCAATATTAATCGTTGGTAGCTGATTGTTTGTGTACCATATGATCCTTACAAAAACCATCTTTGGCCGATGATACAATTAGAATTCAAACTCATTTATTTAAAGATAGCTTAAGTAAAATACAGTGTGTTGTCTTCAGGAAAATTAAGAGGATTAATTATACATTTGAGTACATGATCGATGGGCATAGTTCTGCATGACAGAAAAGATAGAGTTTTGAAGTATACAATACGTGGATTTAGTATTGCGTAGTATAACCTATTAGAGACGTTTAGAGCTCAAGATTCACTATTTTTGCTACACTGATGTTAACGACGTTCATGTTGTTCAAACTAGCTCACTAATATACTAACCGTTATGTTAAAAATAACATTTTCGTGTTGTTTCTGCTAAGTAATAATTGTGTCATGCTTACTTAGTCGCGCAATTTCAACTTCAGTACACTACATTAGAACGCATATGTTGTGCTCTCCGTCTTTACTTTTGATTCAGTCGTGATTATCAGAGGGCGTGCCGGTTAGTTCTGCCAATCACTAATTCTCATATAACGTAGTGTTCTGTTGATACTCTGAAACATAATAACTTCTCAAGACATTCATATTATGTAGTACAACAAATGAAATTATTAGACTGCCAAATTTAAAATTATGGCTTGGATACTTGAACCCCACTTCTTGTACCGGTATTTCGGTATTAACCTTTACTTTTTAAGTTATGAGTTATGCTATGTCAGTTGATAGAATCATTAGAATGAATCGAATGATTGAATCGATCATCTGCTTACGGAAACAATACATATATCCTAACTCGAGGAAAAATTAAAAAAAACCCGACAAACTGAGCGAATGACTAGGTCTAAAGAGTGGAATTCAAAATAGTTGTTTATATACAAATGTCTGATAATAACCCATGAAAGAAAAAAACGGTTAGCCAATAAACGAAATCATATTTATGTAGAAAACAGTGAGTTGATGGATAAGATTTGAAGCTCAGGTAGATGTTTTTGGTGATTTTATTCACTGAGCTGGATTGTTCGATCGTGGAGCTTTCATCGTTCTGAACGCCATCATCAGCACAAACTTCAAGTAGTAATGATGCGTCCGAGTTTCTCCACATATGACTCCCAGCTCGTCCTGTAGACCACGATCTTGATTGGCTATTGTTGACCTTTAACCTGTCATTGTTTACTTCTTTATTTTGACTGTATCTCCCATTGATTTGACTCTTGGTCCTATATCTGTCTATAATTGTTCTGGTTGGTTGATAAATCGGATCAATTTCAATGTGTCTGTTGATTGCTTATTGACTTGAGTGCTAAGCTTCTAAAAATTCTCTGGTGTTTTTAGAATTCCCTCTATCTAGACCTCAACACTTTCCCAGTCCATTGTGTGTTTACATGCATTGATATAAGCGAGGATATGCCGTGGCTTTAGACCGCTAATTGATATTCGTGCACGCGAAGATGAAGGGGGCGTCCACTTTGTCTGATGTCGTGTTTTTCGCAGTTGGCACAATTTATTTTGTAGATGATGTTTGGTTTCTTCTTTTGTCATTTCGTTCATTGGTTTGTATAGGATTGATTGAAGTAATTTTGTTGGTTTTTGTGCTACACTTATTCCGCAAGGCTTCAAAAAATGCGTGATATTTGATATGCCTTTTATATATAGTTGGACAATCTGTTTGTTGGTTCCTGTATCTGATTGTGTTTCTGCTGATCCGTTTGGTTGATTTTTTTGATGACATTGATTGGGTAGCAGCTCTTTTGGAAGATAGTCTTGAGATATTTTTCTTCATTTTTCCGAGCTGCAAGTGTGTTGCAGTGTTTCCTTGCCCTCTTGAATAAGGTTTGTACGCAGTTGATTTTGTGAGTTCTTAGGTTGTTGTTACTGTAATTGAGAATTTAATCTATGTGGGTCGGCTTCCAATATACTCGAGTTCCCAGTTTTCATGCATTGATTCTGTTGATTAATACATCCAAAAATGATAGTTTGTTGTTTGACTTCTTTTCCATTGTGAACTTCGTGTCATCGAAGACGTTGTTGAACAGATTGTAGGTGTTTTCGAGCTCGTCCTTTTTGACGATGACGAATATGTCGTCCACATAGCGAATCCAAATTTTTGGCTTGATCACTGGTAAGATCGAGGCTTCCAATCTCTGCATCATTGCTTCTGCAATAAGTTCTGATATTGGTGATCTCATCGGTTTTCCTTTCATTGGTTCGTAGATTTTGTTGTTGAATTGAAAGTATGTTATTAAGCATAAATCGATGAGTTTTAGTAACACAATGAAATCGATCCAATTTATCAACCAACCAGAACAATTATAGACAGATATAGGACCAAGAGTCAAATCAATGGGAGATACAGTCAAAATAAAGAAGTAAACAATGACAGGTTAAAGGTCAACAATAGCCAATCAAGATCGTGGTCTACAGGATGAGCTGGGAGTCATATGTGGAGAAACTCGGACGCATCATTACTACTTGAAGTTTGTGCTGATGATGGCGTTCAGAACGTTGAAAGCTCTATGACCAAACAGCCAAGTTCAGGGAACAAATCTTTATCAGCATACAGTGACTTTTAATCTTTGCTCAGACAAATAGTAGTAGTTGTAGTATTAACTATTATATGAAGCATATGGCTTTAATTTGATTATGTGCATGTGATTATGCAACTTCCTCACACGAAAAAGAATTTCAGAAGTACATTAAATTGATTTATGGTCGGTTCAGAACACTACTTTTAAAATTAAATGATCATATTATTCTTATCATAGTGTAAAAATCGCACAATAAATACATTTTCTTTTTGTTATCATTCATTTATAGGTGATTTTTCAACTAATTTCCCTGACAGACAGTTTACTCCAAATGTTTATGTTGAAAATCGAAGTGGCTTTCGTTCTCATCCACTTAAAGATTATGAGAAAAATATGCCTATGAAACGAAATGAAGAATCTACAATTAAAAGAAGACTAAATGACAAACAAGAACTGATGTATACGCATAACAATCCAGGATTACATTTTGTTATCAGCATACATGAAACACTACAAATTTTGACATTTACGTTATTTGGCTTATTGGCTGGTGCAAGTTTAGTGCATACACTATTCGTACAATCATTAATTAATCCAAGACAAATTAAAAATGATGGTTCTTGGAATTACAATTACGGAGATGGTTATTTACCATTATTAAAATATTATGGAGTTTATGCACGTCCAATCTCTATTACATTTTATATATCATTAGTTTTGATAGGTGTTTTTGTATTCGGAAAATTTGATTTAGGAAGGCCAACAACAAATTGTATTCGGAAATGTGTTAAACTTCAGGTGGTTACTGATATATATATATATATATATATATATATATATATATATATATATATATATATATATATGTTGTTATTGGACATATTTGTTTACAAAATATGGTTCTATTCGTACCGATAGTCATTCAGTTACTAGTCCTTATATTAATCCGATTATAGGATTAGGGGTTTTATTTTACTTACTATAGTTTGTCTTGTCAGTTAGTTCTCCTGAAAAAAATGAGATTGACAATTTTTCAATGTACTGACTATACAATCCAGCCAATTAATCCCATTAAATTAACAGTCATGAAAACTGCTGACCAGAAAAAAATCGTGCTTTAAATTGATTAATTACCGTCCACTAAGTATCAGTAAAGATTTATGTGAGACCTGTTTTAGAAAACATTATAATTGACAATTCAATTACCGACTGTAGTGAATTTTTTTAACTGGTCAACATGGCACACACCACTATTTCTCAGTGAAAATTATTAGTAGTACTGAAATCGTCCAGTACCAATAATACATTACATCAACATAACTGAGACTCACTGTGTTACATTTGTTCAGCCAAGATGAAAGGTAGGATTTATCATACCTCTAAATGTTCCAAGTATTCTTTTTTTCCAGCCACATTATTAAGATCTTTTTACCATGTGAGGAATAGCTGATCAGAATACGATCAGACGAATGAAATATCAGTATAGGGTTGTGGAGATTATTGAGTTTTGATTGAGATCATGAGTCGACCACTGTTAAACCCATCGAGAACCTGGAAGCAATGGACGGCCTAAGCAGTGCGCATCCACGACCCTGCAGCTCAAAGGTCTTGAGGTTAAGCGTCCGCGCGCACAACCGAAGTCTCTGAGTTCGAATCCCACGTGCGGGACCGTGAATGCGCACTGCTAAGGAGCCCCATACTAGGACGAGACGGCCGTTCAGTGCTTCTAGTTTTTCGACGGTGGTCTAACATTGATCGATGCATGATACCAGCCAAAAGATATAAGGAAAGAACTTTTCCTAAAGACACTGGTAGTAAAATAATTAGATCATTATCTTTTATAGTTTATAAAATGATACATACTCTATTTTAGTTAATGCTATAACCTATTTTACAAAAGCATAAGGCAGGGGAATTCAGCGTTTCACAATCTCTTGGTCGCCTAAATTGGTATTTGTATTACTATACTTTCTTCGGTGTTATCTTCGTCATGTTCAGCAACTATTACTAATGAAATTTTTGAAAATCCTTCTGCTTAGGTAATAATTCTAGTTTCATGATCGCCTTTACTTGTTAACTAATTCACTTACCGTTCCCCGAAACCTCTGTTAAATCTGTCGTTGTATAACGTTAATCAATTAACTACAAGATTTATTACAGAAAACAGTACTGTATTTATCGATTAATGAGCATCGTTAAAAAAGCCTCATATTCTCGTCACGTACATGAAATTCGGTAGTCACTGAGTAACAAAACATTTAAATTTTGAGTCATAGGATATGGGCACGAACTTCACCCCGTTTACCTTGATTTATGTAGTCAGATTATATAAATAAATCTTACAAAAATGTGTGGTACTGATCCTGCACACAAATAAATTAAAAATTATTACGCAGTTCGGTTCACAATTTAGCTTTGATTATTGATAACTAAACGAAGTTAATAATTAGGTGTTAACCAACTCAAATGACAATTATCATTATTTTATTGTATATTAGTCAAAATTTAATAGCCATTATCCAATACGAATTGTAAGCATTGTATGATACTTGATTAATTTGTAGGTTGATACTAGTTAATCACTTCAAAATAAGAAGCAGAAGAAACTCATTTGTAGATCCAACCTTTTTCTCAAAATTTATCACTTATCATTTTCTCTTCTTTTTTATTAGAATGGACTAATGGCTATCATATTTTATATGATCGCTTTCGTAATACACAATTCGATGGGTTGGTTTGATTATATATTTCATGTGAATAGTTATAAATCTGAAGATGAAATAAGATACCTATTGAGTACACAAATTGATTTAAATAATTTTCTTAAAATATGGCAAATACTTGATGCTTGTCGTACTGCATTCATATTAATAACATGGATATCAGTTGCACTAGGTGATTCAATTCATGACAGGTTAACTACAACGTTGAATATTAATCCTATGAAAATCGGAGATGGTAGTGGAAACAATATCCAGCCGAATTAAACATCACTAAAAATATACAAATGACATTTGTAATCCCTCTTCTTCATAGCTCCTGAAGAGAATTCGTAATTTGAAAAATATACAATGATAATTGAATGTCTATTTTTAAAGCTTCAAGACTCAACTATTTTCTACATAACTCTTGTTCTTCAGAAACAAACTAAATTCTTAAACCCAGTCTATGATGCAGACAAATCGACTGATACACAATAAGTTGCATCATGTAATAACTGAATCTAATTAATCGCTATATATATAGAAAATTGTAGTCGCTGATAAACATTTCTATAACTAATTGATGTAATTGTAAAAGCTTTCTTTAATCGGTTCAAATGATGGACTATTTTTTCGCGGTATTTCTAAATCTTAAATATTCCTGACAAACAAGTTGCTCCAGAAAAATGTGCCTCAAAGCCAAGTACGTAAACTTGAATTTGGTGGGTTAAATTATTAGTTTCGGAAATGCTAAAAAGGTAGGAGTATTGGGTGCTTCATACAATCAGTATGCCGAATGTAATTTCAATTGAGAATTGATCCTCTTTGGAAAGCCATTGAAGATCAGTACACACTGAACCATCACAACTGTTTTAAGAAATTTAGGACTCATCAGTAGTGAACACTGGCAACCTCACCAAGAACATCCGTTATTTAGCTGGAATCCAACAGTCCACACTTTCCCATATGTTTTGTGGGATTTTCTTTGAGATGAATGACTGTGAGGATAAAAAATGTTCAGCAGTGCCATTGTTCGACATTGGACATGAATTCAATGTTTTAAAAGTCCTGCGAGATGATCAGCACTTCAGAAAAATCATCTTTTCTTGCTCCTTCCAGTTTCCTCTTCCCGAGTATTTATATATTTAACCTGTAAGCAAACAAATATTCGAACGTTCTCTCAATCCTTTTACAGTTATTGTCGTCCATTATTTTATATCTCAATTTTATTCCAGACTTCTCTGATAACGTACGAATACTTGTTTTGTTTCTTGATGATTTCCACTATTTTTAAGTCGTAAGCAGTTGAGGAGGACCCGCGAAATAAATGAATCGATATTATTCTCCTAGGATCGTTGTTCTTCATTCAAAATGTAGTACGTCCAGATTTTGAAGAAACATATTTGTAGTTATAAAGTAGTCTATGGAGGAAGTCTTTACTAACTTGTGAAGTTGATGTAATTAAGCTAATTCACTTTTCTGAGAACAAACCAACCGACAAATATAGACTTAAAGGACGGGTAAAGAAACTAGAAATAGTATTCCCGTATGAACCTAAGTCTGTAAATTCTGCAGGTCCAATAGTGATGGGTATGGCCTGGCAGAAACTAGTGCTTTGTATTTGTCATTAGTACTTATAAATTAAACTGTGATGTCTCTCAGTGGATTGTCTTTGTCTAACTACATGATTCTGATAGCCACGTTTTATTGCGAATCCAATGCCAGTCACGACTATACTTTTAACACATCGGAAAAAATCTATCTATATAAATAGGAATAAACAATATTTCCAACAACGCAAGGTTACCTTTTGAAATCAATACTCGTTAAAAACGAGTTCAAATGTCACAACTCCATAGAACAGCTCCTAAAGCTTCGATTTCTCACTTTTTGAATAATTAGGCATTTCGTATATTCAGAAACGATCACAAGAAGTCAAATCATATGTTATTGGAGACGAGGTTTCATAGTGGAAAAATAGAGTGAAATAGCCAAAAACTATATATTGTGTTTGTAACACTTCCTGTAGAGCTTTCATCAATAGATTTACTCTGAGTGCTAAACCTACGTATACACTGTGCATAGAAATTGAGGATCAGCTGATAGGAAAAGTCATAACAGTATTTTATAGCAGTTTATACGATACAAATTCAAGCCAGGGTAAGCATTACATTTTCTAGTAAAAAAAATGTATGCAAATACTTTATGAAAGGAAATAAATTTAGAGATATGCAACGGGTTGATATTACAAACTACACTTTTTAAAGAAAGAGATCGCTCTATAACAATTAATACAATAAACCGATCTAAACATAATATACAAATGTGACGCCATATTATTTAATTGAAACAAGATATGTTATCTTTATTATTTTGAAGAATTCTGAGAGAATGCGAATGACGACATTCTCTTAGATACATTATTCTCAAATTCAGATAGTCTTCTCTTTGTAGCATTGGAATTACACTGAATTAAATCATCATTTTCACTTAATGGACGTTTGGTATTACTTTGTAGTACGTTTTCCTTTTCTTTTCCATCAAAAACACCGTCTTTTGAACTTTTTATAGAACGCTAATATGTAAGGAATAAAAATAAACAAACGTTAGATATATCAATAGGAATCACAGCTATTTATGTACTATTTAATCATGACAGAAAAAATATACCTGTCACCATGGAAATATTCGTGCCACAATGACAATGTAAGGGTTTGTGACGTAGGTAGAGCAGGACTCGAACCTCCGAGATAGTGGTTGAAAGACCTAAACACTAAGCCGCTGATCTATTTATTACATTAACACTTAGTTGAAATATTCTTACTGAAGTTAAGTCGATGATGTGCACCATCGATATGTATGGCAACACAATACTTTACAACTACTACTTTAGACAACCCACTTTACACCCATGTATTCGTGATATCGATTTGCCATGTCTTGGTAACTTTAAGGAATCCAATGATCGCATTAACTTTTAATAATGATATCTGATAACAGCGCTAGACCGATCCAACTACCAAAAAAATAGTAGGGTGATCTGATCAAATGTGTTAATTAGATCTTACTGACTGGTTAGTTCAGTAACATAATAGAAAACTAAGCGAACTAATATCGCAAAATTATGAAGTTGAAATCGGAAGGTTGCAAGTTATGTACTGGAACTTCAGAAGAAGAAAACACTGTTTTCTTAGAAGGTAGTCCATATATTTCTCTAAATACTTCATTTATTTACATATCATCTATTTACTCACGTTTCATCTTCATGCACTTTCTGAATCTCATGTTTCTACCTTATTTAAACAGTGTCACAATGAACAACAAAGTGACATTCTACATTATGCCTATCTACTGACGACTCGTATTTAGCGAACGGCAATCCTACATATGGGGTGATCTTGAGTATGCAGATGCTATTGTTTTATTGTGTAACGATAATTAAGCCAAGCAATCCGTGTTAAATCAGTTGGCAATCAATGTCCACAGCTATGGCAGGTACTTTGCATTTTCGAAATGCAAAGTACTTTTATAAGACTGTTAGAATCCCGTGCATCCACCAATCATTCACCTATTTTTATTCATCCGTTTTTTTATTATCAAACCCCACTTCATTTCTTCACCTCATAACAATCTAATTTTCTTATTTATTTTGGCACCCACTGTGTTTAAATCAATAATAACCATGCGAGTATCACCCGATATTTGAAGATGATAACTGTGCGGCATTGTTATTATCATTCCTCCAGCCATCAGGGCCCCTGGTTAGCGTTTTTTCGAGTTAGTTTTCTACGGGATGGGGTCGCTAACCCCATGCACAAACCTCTACCTTTACCGGGGCTTCGGATCGGCAGTAGCCCAGAGGGGCTCCGAGAGGAGTAGCATCAGATCATCACTTGCTGGTCGCCAAGATGAAACTGAACCTCAAGAAGCACCAGACAATCGAGCAGATAACAGTACAAAAGTTTAATACGACCTTTCTTCGGGTTACTGACAAACTCAACAAATTCAAGGTAGTCCTCAGTAGTATATTCCAGGCCTTTCATGACCAACGCAATGGAGAGGGAACTACTGTGGAGAGCAACTTGAGAGGGATAAGAGGCAATCACTTCAACATGTTGATGTGGCTCGTGAATCTGACCTCAAGATCGTATATGAAACAGAGCAGAGCACAATGACACGTAGGGAGGATGGCTGGGAAGCCAACTCCATTTTAATTAAGCGTTACTCAGTATTTATAGTCAGACAAGATAAGCTACAGACATACAATGAATCATGGGACATGAAGTGTACACTCATATACGCTCATATAAAAAACAGTCAAGACTGACAAGCGAATAATTGACAAGGTCAAAATATGGCTCAAGTAAAATGAATAAAATAGGATGTCCGGAAGTTAGAATAAAGGTATATGGGCTTGCCATAATAACTGACACTACAATGTCACGAGGTTCTGGGCCACAAGAAGCACTACCATAAGGAATGGATCACCGTTGATACACTGGATAAGATTCAACAAGGCAACAATCAATACCAGCTGAGCAAAAGCAGAGAAAGCCAAGGCACAAGCTGAATACACAGAATTAAACAAGCAAGTGAAGAGGAGCATCAGAATCTACAAACGTAAATTATTTGGGAGATCTAGCAATGACGGTTGAAAAGGCTGAAGAGAAGGACACATGAGACAATTGTATGATACAACAAAGAAACTCGCTGGAAATTATCGTAAACCAGAGGGACCATGGAAAAGCAAGGAGGGCAAAGTAATCATCAACATCCAAGAACAGCGAAACAGATGGGTAGAACACTTCAAAGAACTCTTGAATCGATCAGCTTTACTGAACCCGCTCAACATCAAAGTAGCACTCACGGACCTCCCAATCCATGTTGGCCCACCAACAATTGAAGAGATCCGCAAAACCATCAGACAAATCAAGAGCGACAAAGCAGCGGGACCAGACAACATTCCAGCAGAGGCACCAAAAGCAGACGTATCAGTAACTGCAAGGATGCTCCACACTCTCTTCAATAAGATTTGGGATGAGGAACAAGTACCAACAGACTGGAAAGAAGGACACTTGATCAAGATACCAAAGAAAGGCGATCTCAGCAACAGTGATAACTACAGGGGCATCACTCTTCTCTCGATACCAGGAAAAGTCTTCAACAAGGTGTTGTTAAACAAAATGAAGGACTGCGTAGACGCCCAACTTCGAAACCAACAGGCTGGATTCCGCAAGGATCGGTCGTGTACAGACCAGGTTGCAACACTACGGATCATTGTGTAA